GGGAATGACGGCAAACATGGCGGTCGAGAAGACAGCAGGCCTACCGGATACATTAGGGAGCTTTAGAATAACATTTGCAGGCGCTGCGAGTGTCTCCGGCATAGCAGGCCCCATATGAGCTTTAGAATGATGTTTGTCCTCAAGCAAGCCACAACCCACAATCGCAGCGACACCGCAGAGGCGAAACCAGCGATTGCGAGCCGCACACACGGACGCTATTTCAGATTTTCTGCGGGCGGGCCACGAATGGCAGCTCGCGTTACGACGCATGCGCAGTGGCAGCGACCACACCGCAAGGGCTCGCGGTGCACTATTCTAAAGGGACGCATGCGCAGTGGCAGCGACCACACCGCAAGGCTCGCGGTGCGGTATTCCTTAAGGGACGCATGCGCAGTGGCAGCGACCACACCGTAAAAGAGACGCATGCGCAGTGGCAGCGACCACACCGCAAGGCTCGCGGTGCGCTATTCTAAAAGGGACGCATGCGCAGTGGCAGCGACCACACCGCAAGGGCTCGCGGTGCGCTATTCTAAAAGGGACGCATGCGCAGTGGCAGCGACCACACCGCAAGGGCTCGCGGTGCGCTATTCTAAAAGGGACGCATGCGCAGTGGCAGTGACCACACCGCAAGGGCTCGCGGTGCGCTATTCTTAAAGGGACGCATGCGCAGTGGCAGCGACCACACCGCAAGGGCTCGCGGTGCGCTATTCTAAAAGGGACGCATGCGCAGTGGCAGCGACCACACCGCAAGGGCTCGCGGTGCGCTATTCTAAAAGGACGCATGCGCAGTGGCAGTGACCACACCGCAAGGGCTCGCGTGCGCTATTCTAAAAGGGACGCATGCGCAGTGGCAGTGACCCCACCGCAAGGCGTCGCGGTGCGCTATTCTAAAAGGGACGCATGCGCAGTGGCAGTGACCACACCGCAAGGGCTCGCGGTGCGCTATTCTAAAAGGGACGCATGCGCAGTGGCAGCGACCACACCGCAAGGGCTCGCGGTGCGCTATTCTAAAAGGGACGCATGCGCAGTGGCAGCGACCACACCGCAAGGGCTCGCGGTGCGCTATTCTTAAAGGGACGCATGCGCAGTGGCAGCGACCACACCGCAAGGGCTCGCGGTGCGCTATTCTAAAAGAGACGCATGCGCAGTGGCAGCGACCACACCGCAAGGGCTCGCGGTGCGCTATTCTAAAAGGGACGCATGCGCAGTGGCAGTGACCACACGGGCTCGCGGTGCGCTATTCTAAAAGGGACGCATGCGCAGTGGCAGCGACCACACCGCAAGGGCTCGCGGTGCGCTATTCTAAAAGGGACGCATGCGCAGTGGCAGCGACCACACCGCAAGGGCTCGCGGTGCGCTATTCTTAAAGGGACGCATGCGCAGTGGCAGCGACCACACCGCAAGGGCTCGCGGTGCGCTATTCTAAAAGAGACGCATGCGCAGTGGCAGTGACCACACCGCAAGGGCTCGCGGTGCGCTATTCTAAAAGGGACGCATGCGCAGTGGCAGCGACCACACCGCAAGGGCTCGCGGTGCGCTATTCTTAAAGGGACGCATGCGCAGTGGCAGCGACCACACCGCAAAGGCTCGCGGTGCGCTATTCTAAAAGGGACGCATGCGCAGTGGCAGCGACCACACCGCAAGGGCTCGCGGTGCGCTATTCTAAAAGGGACGCATGCGCAGTGGCAGTGACCACACCGCAAGGGCTCGCGGTGCGCTATTCTTAAAGGGACGCATGCGCAGTGGCAGCGACCACACCGCAAGGGCTCGCGGTGCGCTATTCTAATTATTTCAGTCTGACTCGGGGCAGAAATCAGCACTGGATTCTTTCACAAGTACGTGATCGTTCTCTTCTGCCGTCGGGTGTGCGATACGGATCGCGCTTGCCGGCAACGGGCTCGATCGTTTTGGATATCACGCGCACGAAATGCACCGCAAATGTCGGCTTCGGCATCTGTATAGTTCGCCTGTGCATTTTGATTTTGAATATACGAATAGTTCGTTTTTTTCTCCCGGAATTTTCCTTCGAGAATAAATAAGTTTTTGGTTAGTCGATATATTACGAGAGCTCTCTGCTGTTTCCCACCTTGCTTTGCCATGCAGTCGAATGTTTTGGTACCGTGCGCTAATAATTTATTTCGCTTCCTTTGTGAGCGGGCTAAAGGAGGTGTAGTTGAACAGCCCGAAACGGCTCGAGCAGCGCTTAGTGCCAATATTCAATAAATAGGTGGCGAATAGGACATGTATATATATATATATATATATGATAGGGAGGCGAAGGCAGGGAAATACCGCTCTCTCACCTTTGAACTCGCTGTGTAGTTGAGGGGCCCCCGGATGGTACGTACCGACTGGCCAAGCTAACTACTGTTTTACGAAAGACGCTTTGCTGTTGGAAGCAGGAGAACCCACCATTCCGGCGCAGGCCGAGCACAGGTTGGCGGTTCGCACCAGACGGAGGACGGCATCCCTGCGCGCCATGCCGCTTCAGTGTGGCTGCAGCCCGCTTAATGACGGCGGGAGAGTGATAACGCGATAAGAGCCGCTCCAATTATGGGTCGTTCGGAAACGATCTGCCAAGCAAGTCCTAGTCGTCTTTGGCGGACACATTTAAGCTGCGTAATTTATTGCCCACTTGATAAGCTGGATTACCGAACTCTTTCGGGAGAACGAGCCGTGCGCCGCCGTCGACCGAGCGCGACGTCCCAAGTAGAGTGCACTAGAAGTGTTCTCTAGTACACTGTACCAGAAAATTCTGCATAGAGGCGCTGCTGCGCTTCTGCGTTCAACCGGTATCTCAGAACGGCTCTTATGTGAGGTATGTGTTTTAAATGTGCGGAGCACTTTAGGGCCGCCGTGTGCTGTCATCACTTTGCATGCCATAGCGCATAGTAGAAGTCTTGGTGGGTGTGCGTCTCCTAGTAGCCACATCTCGTTTAGTCCCTGGAGTCTCCGCTGGTGGCGGTACGTGTATATGATGAAAAGATGTGAGACGGTGGTACTTGGAGTGCTCACTAGGCGGACGGACAGATGGACGCGGCCAGCGGATGATTCACGGTTTGCCGATAAAACCCAAGTTTCGCCCCACTCATCATCATTCATTCCATGGATATGCTGTGATTTTTTTCTCTGGAGGCCTTGATGGCGATATAATAATTTATCATCTTCAGCAAAGAATAACTATTGTGCTCGGCGTAACGCAGGCAAGTGTTAAAAATATGATAGCATATCCATTGAGTGAATGATGATGAGTGGGGCGTAGCGTCCATCTATCCGCCTGTATGGCTGGATACGCCTAACAAATAGGACAAGGTTAGACTAAGAGAAGCTTCGCCCCTTAAAATAGAACAGATGAAGCAGGTGCCAAATAGAAATAAAAGGGACGCATGCGCAGTGGCAGTGACCACACCGCAAGGGCTCGCGGTGCGCTATTCTAAAAGGGACGCATGCGCAGTGGCAGTGACCACACCGCAAGGGCTCGCGGTGCGCTATTCTAAAAGGGACGCATGCGCAGTGGCAGTGACCACACCGCAAGGGCTCGCGGTGCGCTATTCTAAAAGGGACGCATGCGCAGTGGCAGTGACCACACCGCAAGGGCTCGCGGTGCGCTATTCTAAAAGGGACGCATGCGCAGTGGCAGTGACCACACCGCAAGGGCTCGCGGTGCGCTATTCTAAAAGGGACGCATGCGCAGTGGCAGTGACCACACCGCAAGGGCTCGCGGTGCGCTATTCTAAAAGAGACGCATGCGCAGTAGTAGCGACCACACCGCAAAGGCTCGTGGTGTGCTATTCTGATTATTTCAGTCTGACTCGGGGCAGAAATCAGCACTGGATTCTTTCACAAGTACGTGATCGTTCTCTTCTGCCGTCGGGTGTGCGATACGGATCGCGCTTGCCGGCAACGGGCTCGATCGTTTTGGATATCACGCGCACGAAATGCACCGCAAATGTCGGCTTCGGCATCTGTATAGTTCGCCTGTGCATTTTGATTTTGAATATACGAATAGTTCGTTTTTTTCTCCCGGAATTTTCCTTCGAGAATAAATAAGTTTTTGGTTAGTCGATATATTACGAGAGCTCTCTGCTGTTTCCCACCTTGCTTTGCCATGCAGTCGAATGTTTTGGTACCGTGCGCTAATAATTTATTTCGCTTCCTTTGTGAGCGGGCTAAAGGAGGTGTAGTTGAACAGCCCGAAACGGCTCGAGCAGCGCTTAGTGCCAATATTCAATAAATAGGTGGCGAATAGGACATGTATATATATATATATATATATGATAGGGAGGCGAAGGCAGGGAAAATACCGCTCTCTCACCTTTGAACTCGCTGTGTAGTTGAGGGGCCCCCGGATGGTACGTACCGACTGGCCAAGCTAACTACTGTTTTACGAAAGACGCTTTGCTGTTGGAAGCAGGAGAACCCACCATTCCGGCGCAGGCCGAGCACAGGTTGGCGGTTCGCACCAGACGGAGGACGGCATCCCTGCGCGCCATGCCGCTTCAGTGTGGCTGCAGCCCGCTTAATGACGGCGGGAGAGTGATAACGCGATAAGAGCCGCTCCAATTATGGGTCGTTCGGAAACGATCTGCCAAGCAAGTCCTAGTCGTCTTTGGCGGACACATTTAAGCTGCGTAATTTATTGCCCACTTGATAAGCTGGATTACCGAACTCTTTCGGGAGAACGAGCCGTGCGCCGCCGTCGACCGAGCGCGACGTCCCAGAAGTAGAGTGCACTAGAAGTGTTCTCTAGTACACTGTACCAGAAAATTCTGCATAGAGGCGCTGCTGCGCTTTCTGCGTTCAACCGGTATCTCAGAACGGCTCTTATGTGAGGTATGTGTTTTAAATGTGCGGAGCACTTTAGGGCCGCCGTGTGCTGTCATCACTTTGCATGCCATAGCGCATAGTAGAAGTCTTGGTGGGTTGTGCGTCTCCTAGTAGCCACATCTCGTTTAGTCCCTGGAGTCTCCGCTGGGTGGCGGTACGTGTATATGATGAAAAGATGTGAGACGGTGGTACTTGGAGTGCTCACTAGGCGGACGGACAGATGGACGCGGCCAGCGGATGATTCACGGTTTGCCGATAAAACCCAAGTTTCGCCCCACTCATCATCATTCATTCCATGGATATGCTGTGATTTTTTTCTCTGGAGGCCTTGATGGCGATATAATAATTTATCATCTTCAGCAAAGAATAACTATTGTGCTCGGCGTAACGCAGGCAAGTGTTAAAAATATGATAGCATATCCATTGAGTGAATGATGATGAGTGGGGCGTAGCGTCCATCTATCCGCCTGTATGGCTGGATACGCCTAACAAATAGGACAAGGTTAGACTAAGAGAAGCTTCGCCCCTTAAAATAGAACAGATGAAGCAGGTGCCAAATAGAAATAAATGGAAAATAGCAAAAAACAATATAGAAAGAGCAAGAAAGAGAAACGGATCAAGAGAGATGAAGAACTACATGGCGCGGTGCGCTATTCTAAAAGGGACGCATGCGCAGTGGCAGTGACCACACCGCAAGGGCTCGCGGTGCGCTATTCTAAAAGGGACGCATGCGCAGTGGCAGTGACCACACCGCAAGGGCTCGCGGTGCGCTATTCTAAAAGGGACGCATGCGCAGTGGCAGTGACCACACCGCAAGGCTCGCGGTGCGCTATTCTAAAAGGGACGCATGCGCAGTGACAGTGACCACACCGCAAGGGCTCGCGGTGCGCTATTCTAAAAGGGACGCATGCGCAGTGGCAGTGACCACACCGCAAGGGCTCGCGGTGCGCTATTCTAAAAGGGACGCATGCGCAGTGGCAGTGACCACACCGCAAGGGCTCGCGGTGCGCTATTCTAAAAGGGACGCATGCGCAGTGGCAGTGACCACACCGCAAGGGCTCGCGGTGCGCTATTCTAAAAGGGACGCATGCGCATTGGCAGTGACCACACCGCAAGGGCTCGCGGTGCGCTATTCTAAAAGGGACGCATGCGCAGTGGCAGTGACCACACCGCAAGGGCTCGCGGTGCGCTATTCTAAAAGGGACGCATGCGCAGTGGCAGTGACCACACCGCAAGGGCTCGCGGTGCGCTATTCTAAAAGAGACGCATGCGCAGTAGTAGCGACCACACCGCAAAGGCTCGTGGTGTGCTATTCTGATTATTTCAGTCTGACTCGGGGCAGAAATCAGCACTGGATTCTTTCACAAGTACGTGATCGTTCTCTGTCTGCCGTCGGGGTGTGCGATACGGATCGCGCTTGCCGGCAACGGGCTCGATCGTTTTGGATATCACGCGCACGAAATGCACCGCAAATGTCGGCTTCGGCATCTGTATAGTTCGCCTGTGCATTTTGATTTTGAATATACGAATAGTTCGTTTTTTTCTCCCGGAATTTTCATTCGAGAATAAATAAGTTTTTGGTTAGTCGATATATTACGAGAGCTCTCTGCTGTTTTCCCACCTTGCTTTTGCCATGCAGTCGAATGTTTTGGTACCGTGCGCTAATAATTTATTCGCTTCCTTTGTGAGCGGGCTAAAGGAGGTGTAGTTGAACAGCCCGAAACGGCTTCGAGCAGCCGCTTAGTGCCAATATTCAATAAATAGGTGGCGAACTAGGACATGTATATATATATATATATATATGCTAGGGAGGCGAAGGCAGGGAAAATACCGCTCTCATCACCTTTGAACTCGCTGTGTAGTTGAGGGGCCCCCGGATGGTACGTACCGACTGGCCAAGCTAACTACTGTTTTACGAAAGACGCTTTGCTGTTGGAAGCAGGAGAACCCACCATTCCGGCGCAGGCCGAGCACAGGTTGGCGGTTCGCACCAGACGGAGGACGGCATCCCCTGCGCGCCATGCGCTTCCAGTGTGGCTGCAGCCCGCTTAATGACGGCGGGAGAGTGATAACGCGATAAGAAGCCGCTCCAATTATGGGTCGTTCGGAAACGATCTGCCAAGCAAGTCCTAGTCGTCTTTGGCGGACACATTAAGCTGCGTAATTTATTGCCCACTTGATAAGCTGGATTACCGAACTCTTTCGGGAGAACGAGCCGTGCGCCGCCGTCGACCGAGCGCGACGTCCCAGAAGTAGAGTGCACTAGAAGTGTTCTCTAGTACACTGTACCAGAAATTCTGCATAGAGGCGCTGCTGCGCTTTCTGCGTTCAACCGGTATCTCAGAACGGCTCTTATGTGAGGTATGTGTTTTAAATGTGCGGAGCACTTTAGGGCCGCCGTGTGCTGTCATCACTTTGCATGCCATAGCGCATAGTAGAAGTCTTGGTGGGGTTGTGCGTCTCCTAGTAGCCACATCTCGTTTAGTCCCTGGAGTCTCCGCTGGGTGGCGGTACGTGTATATGATGAAAAGATGTGAGACGGTTGGTACTTGGAGTGCTCACTAGGCGGACGGACAGATGGACGCGGCCAGCGGATGATTCACGGTTTGCCGATAAAACCCAAGTTCGCCCCACTCATCATCATTCATTCCATGGATATGCTGTGATTTTTTT